ATCATCCTCGTTGTCGATATGATCATCTTTTTTTCCAACATCTTTGGCGGCTTCTTTCTCACCCCTACTTGCAGCCACTTTTTTCTTGTGAACATTTTCCATTTCCTTCATGAAATCGTCAATATTTTGACCTGATATAGCCAGCATACGTTGTTGCAGGGAATTGGGTTTGGGCACCGTCTTGGATGACTTCGATTTGGAGACATATTTTTTCAGTACCACCTCATCGTCCTCAGCATCCGTATCCAAATCGGACATATCAGCCAGCGTGGGAGGGGGACCAATGGGAACACCTAACACTTCTTTGCGTTTTATCTCTTCCGGCTTTTCGGGTGGCTTTGCACTTGGTTCATTGAGTTTCTTTAGGGTACCGGGAGGGGCACCCGGTGCAAATGGCGGCAAAGACAAAGCCGTGGGTGGAGGTGGTAACCGTTTGGGACCTGATGGGAAAGCGGCGGTAGCAGTCCCACCACTTGCCGGTGTTTGGGTGCTAGAGGGCAGAGGAATTTCATCGATTTGTACACTTTGAGCATGTTTGACACTTTCGTAGTATTGTTGCTTTTTTAAACGTTTCTTTTCATATTCCACCTCTTTGCGTTTCAACTCTGACCAGTGTTCCGGATCATCGTTGTACTGGAAAAGGACAAGAGCTATATTAAAACAGAACTTAAAATGAAAGACAAAATACCCACATAAAGCCGCATGACACGTTCAAATGTTTCCTTCAACTTTTTCCGTTTGTCCCGCAAGACCTTCTCGTTCAGGGGTGATGGCTGGAGCACATTATATTCTGGGGGCAAGTTAGAAAATCGCCAGTAACAGAATAAATATTAAAAGTTTCCTTAGCGTACATACCCATTTCATCGATTTTCTCCATTTCCTCCAAAATTTGACTAGGATCTTTATTCTTGAGTACGGCCGCCCTTACCATTTGCCTTTGTTTCTTGTTCTTTTTCAGCTCCTTTTTGCGGGCTTCCTTTCCTGAAAATTATTCAATAATATTCCAAATGAGTTTTGGGAATACCTCCAAATCTTGGGCACATTGTGCCGGGATAGCTTCAATGTATTTGGGACTTACTTGCTTGATCCGTGGGATTCATGTATTTACCACTTTTTGTGGTATTAATGGAGCGTCGCCCCATCCTGTTGGTATTGTCTTTTATTGACTTTGTAAGCGAAAAACTTAATAAAATTTACAATTTTCTCTCTGTTGTGAATTTGTTTAGTTTTTTTCGTGGTGGCCAGGTTTTAACGATAACAGTGTTATCGATAAGCTTAGGGCCATTGCTGAAATCGAAACCGTGACAAAAAGGGTACAAGGGTGCTTTAAGCATTGTGTTTCATTTAACAGCTGTTGAAGCGGAGATACAAACCACTTTTAATAGACATTTATACTTTTCTACCAAGAATACAGGTGAAAATGTGGCAATTTGTAAAAATGTTTGAAAAATGCATATCAGAACAACCTCCGATTTGCATCGCAAAAGAAAAAGTATATAAATATCTACTTGCTTTTGAAAAAAATTAAAATTTTTAAGTATCAAGGTTCCCCAGCGTTGATGTGACTACCTGTATTCTTCTACCGTTCGAGTGATTATACTTGCGCAGCTGCACGCGAATCGGCAACTGCTGCACTTAGATACTTTTGGTCCATTGTGTTCATCCTAGGAAGAAATAAATTTTTTTGGGGATAGAAGCGATGATATATTTTTAGAGAGAAGTATAGTTAACAGGATGGTCTGCCCACCCAGCTAAAGATTTTTGCCGAGGGAAATGATTTTATATTTTTCGGAAAATTTTAAATCTTTTTTAGAAATTTGCCTATTCCCTAAATTTCTTTAAGATAATAGACCGATTTAGAAAAATTTTCCGATTTCAGTGACCACATCCACACAACGTTTGCATCGAAATCGGAAGAAATTTCAGCAGAGTTTCTGTCCGAATTCGGAATAAAATGTTAGTAGGGTAGTGAGGGAATGCCTGTGGCAAACTTATAAATTATTATGGGATCTATGTCTGAGAAGAACGTAAGAGTTTCTATCTCCCTCCTGTCAAGAAGGAGGAGATATTTGATACTGCAGCCAGTATCCCTACCACGATTCGCAGATCAGACCTACTAAGTGATAGAAGATTTCTTGAAGCAGCTGACATAATAGCGTATTTTGGGTTTAACACTCTCGATTTAATGGCACTTGACTTGATAGCTTTGAGGACCGCATACCAGTAAACGAAGCACCCATATAACAGGTTTCCACTATCCGCAACCTGCTCTTCAAAGGCGGAGGGGACCATGACTTGACACAGTACAACTGCTATCCCTAAGGGCCAGAGCACCCCCAGCTATGATTCTATAACCTCAAAATAGAATCCGTGAATCTGTCTAGGACACAGAACAGCCTGGCACTTGGCGATTTCGTAATGCAAAATTTCAGGAATAGGATATGTTTCTGGCAAGCGCATCGTGGTGGCCAAAAATCGTTGGATCTAATAATTGACCACCGAACTGTCATACTTTGATATGTCTTTTGACGGACGGGTGAAAGCAGGGAACTGATTATATATTTTTCAAATATCGCATTCGTGAGGCTATCGAGGACATAGAACACGTAGACAAGTAGCTGATATTGTTCTTCATTATTAACGGCATTTTTTATTTCTTATTATGAAATCATTTGCCTAACGACATATTTCTTTGAATACCAAGAAAAACACTTCTTTTTGGTAAAACTTTTAGTTTGTCCCTTTTTCTTCAAAATCAACAAATCAGAAGCTGTTGATAATGCCTCCGTTTTTTACTTGGCCAAATTTGTATAGTAATTTTCTTTGACCACGAATGTCATTCGTCTACATTTACTTATGTTGAAAAAATCCGGGCTACAAATTTGCTTGAACAGAGCGTTTATAACGGCGGCGTATCAAAACACACGTCGATCGCCGTTATTAAAATTTGACAGTTCAACGACGTTCATTAATCAATAGAGGGCACTGCACTCCCGTAAAGCAACTGGCAAAAGTTGAAGTAAACGGTTTTTGGGTTTTTTGCTGTGCTGTCATTCTCCCAAAAGTGTACCCCTTTTTGTATTCCAAATTTTCAAATTGATTCTAAATAAACAAATCAATAGTATAAAAACAATTTAGTAAATAATAACGCTGTGAAAAACAAATACCTAGTGCCAAATTAAGTGTGTTTTTCTAAGAAACAAAAAGAACCAAAAAACTTGACATACAGACTGCAGAGGAGAGTTTGCGAAATTATTGTGGTGAGTGTCACAAGAACAAAGTAAACATTTACATATTGATAAATTGCAAATCGCATAGCAGCACCACATCATTGGTCGTTAACGATATTTCGAGGGGAGGAATTTCCAATTGATAATTTGTGTTAATAAAATGCTGAAGTTTGCTTAAATTTATGTGTATCGTTTTGATGACTTGGTTTCTTTTGTGCGGTCTTTTATCTTTTTTGTTCTCCATTCTTTGGGCATGTAAATTTTTTTGTTTAACTTTTTGGCGCAATTTTCACTGGTTGTGCGAAAGAGAACGAATGTTGTCAGTATGTACCTCTGTATGGGTATGAGTGAGCAGGCAACAGTTCAATACCCCAATATAGTGCTTTTTATTTTTTTATTCTTATGTGCAACAATGTTTTCAGCTGGTTTCCTTTGTTGTGTACCTTTATTGTGTGTTTTTCTTTTGTCGACATATTTGCCGGTATTCATCCATAAATTTGCAATGGCATGCAAAAAAAGCAAAAGGAAAACAAAGCAAAAGACAATTGGAAAACGAAGTTGGTGGGAAAATTGCAACGGCGTTCAGTTTAACTAGCCGGTGTAAAAAAAGGAAATTATGTATGTATATAAAATGGATTTATGAATATAAATTTTGACAATGATTTGGGTATATAAAATGGATTTATGAATATAAAATTTGACAATGAGATGTCGGCAAAGGAGTAATTTAAAATTATACAATCATAACAAATATATATTAATATACAATTGTTTTGCATTATTTTAAAATCAATTTTTTTGGACAATTCCAAAATTTGTTTGGTAATAAGTCCCTATCCGGATTAAGACTAATTATTGACCGATCACAATAAATCTGACGATGCAAAATGTATTTTAAATCTATTGTGATTGGTCAATAAGCGGGGTTAATTCGGGCAGAGATTTTTGTATGTTGACGTACTTTTACTCTACCCTGTGGAGCATATTGCTGTTTGTAATTGAATTTTATCTAAAATACTTATTGCTTTCAGCTTTATTTTGTTAATATTTAAGTTTTACTAAATACCTTCCAAACCATAAATAAAAACGACCGTCCATGCTCAATCACTAATATTTAACGCCGTTCACTTTTTATTGAGCGACAACGATTTTCTACTACCTTTACAACCCTGTGTGAGTTCACTGAACAACAGCAACAGAGCTCTCTCTCTCAATTTCTTTGTTATGCACGCACACACAAATACATGAGCGGCAAATAAAAAATAACTATTTTATTTTCTTTTACAATTGTGTTTGGTTTTGTTTTAGCAGTTTTTAAAAAGAAAAAAATTAGATAAACAATTAAATGGATCAATAAAAAACATAATTTAAATAAAACAAATCAACTATTTACAAAAAATAAAACCATTTTGTTGATTTCGATTGTGTGCCAGCCAGCGAGTGGTGTATTTCAAAATATTTTGCAATATTTTACAAAAATGTTGAAGTAAGCATAAAAATTGGTTAATTGTAATAAGATACGCTGAATTGAATTGTGTGCCTTTGTCGCTACATCAGGTAGACCGAACGATTTTTTTTGGTGGCACAACGATCAGTTGAACAAAACTGCAGCAAAGTCGGGCTTGTTCTTGTTGTTAAATTAAAAAAAGAAACGCATACCGTAAGTAGTACCGTTAACTTTTCTCGAAGGTTTTTGAAATCGATTACATTTGTAATAAAAGGAATGTAATACAAATTGAAGAGTGTCGCGCTTAGACTTTTGAACAAGACAACATGATCTATAGGAAGCGGCTTCCATTTAAGGTTATGTGAAACATAGAATATTTAAAACAAAATATTTTAATTTTAAATTAAAAGGTAATTGCTCAAAGATCTATAATTATCTCAGTTGTTAAAATATTGTCTTTTTTTAAGTTGCAGAGATCTAAGTAGACTTCCGTCATATACACGAAAGGAAAAGCGAAGATTTTTAAGAGTTCAGCCATCAATTGTATGTACGGACGCCAGTTGTACGTGGAATTTAGAAACAAGAAGTCGAAGATCCATAGAGTGAAACAGGGCATTTCCCAAGGTGTGTGCGTGTGATATCTCCGAAACTGTTTAACCTCAAACTTTCTACAATTTCATGTCCTTCGTTACTGTGTCGAATTTAAAACATATGTGGGTATTCACGCACCCGTCAAGCGTCAGGCAATATAGTAGGTTATGTCCATGTGGACAGCAATTGTCCATCCATCACTAAGCCAATAATCAATTTCTTTAATTCCAACTACTGATCACCTCACGGTAATGAAGGTCATATTCACACAACCCTTTTAAGTCGTATGCGCATGTCCGAGTTCTATGCGATAAGTGCATAAGCGAAAAAAATTCTCATGTATTTTCTCAGCAGTGTCTATGGAGTTGATAAGGAAACCTTGTTGACCTATTATAATTCGATATGCCTATCAGTGGTCAGCTATAAGGAAAACCGTATATAGGCGCTAAACGTTCTGTATTGATGTACAATTTGGAACAAGTAGGATTCAGGGTCGCCGATTATTTTCAACATTTTACCTCAGGGTACCCCTCGGAGTACGTAAATCCCTCGATGCAAAAGTTTTTTATGCAATTAGACTTACGCAGTGGTCTAGACCTAGGAATAAACATTATATGCATATGCAAAGGACCTACACGATTTAGAGAGGGACCTCCAGCCATATAAGTGAGAGTCTTTTCTTCAGGAAGCCTACAGTCAGGTCTGCATGGCGTTCATACTGATGCTGTCACCTATGGTACCAATCATTATGGTATGAATGGGGTCCTCGAGTTCGCACCCCATCCATTGCAGCTACAGAACGTCGGCTACCTAGACAAAAGTCCAGGATGGTGCATTCCTATCTGTCGCCCATCATGTGACAAAGGCAAACAAGGCCCGCCCCTCTTCTCCCAGGAATACATCCCTTAAACTGTTCCGATAAACCTACCCAACTTACGTCAGAAAATCTTGGCTACACCGAACTTGGCTTGGGTGGCTTCTGAAGCTTCTATTCCGCTTTGGTCAAGGATCCATCTTTTCGAAATTCGAAGAGAGAAAGGGGAATGTCAAAACAATGTGAGACTAGTCTGAAACAAAGATCTAAAACAGTTTTTCCATTGTTCTACTCTGGACCATACGAGCGTAAAGTTTCTCCACTATGCGATTTCCCTTTGACAGTAGAAAAATAATTTGTCATAGGGAGGATTTCATCAAGAGATTAAGGGGTAGTGTTAGAGTTATATTTTGCAAATAAAACAAAAATCGATTTCAAAAATTTTCACCAATTCAATATCATCCCCCTCAAGCGCTTAATATATAAATCTAATTTACAGACACCCACTACTACCCAAGCGAAAATCTACGTCATTCTTACAACGAGATTCATTCGTACTAAACTGTGATAACCACCATGCCTTGGAAACCTTCAACAGATTTCGAAGAAGAAATTGTCAACTTACAACCCGATCATGATTTTATATTTGGTGCCCTGTCCGAGCCGGAACCACAACCGTTTTATCCCCGACCACAATCACATATCGAATATGCGGCCACAAAAAAGAAACAAACACGCCAACAACAGCAGGAATACGAAGAGACGGGAAGAATTAATAATCGTTTGCATGCTATAGCGCAAGTACAGCGCATAGCTGGTACAAAACCGCTGGGCCAACAACCCACCTTGGATGATTGGAATAATAATAAAAATACTGAAAAAGAAATTGTGGCTATGATGCGGCATTTCGGTTTGGGTCCAAGTGTTGAGGAGCCGCTAAACGAAAAACTCACCATAGCCACCTATCCCATTAGGAATGGTGTGGAAATTGTACAAAATAGATGTAAAAAGATACCACTTATCTTCGATGATAATCTGTTTAAATTGAAACCCAAAGAATCGAGCTCATCGAATTCTTCAAATAGTTTCGATAGTGCATGTGGTAATAGTAACCGCAATAACAATAACTCTACCTCAAGCAATGGTGACTTGAATACTACATCATCGACAAATAGCTGTGATACAAATTCATATTCCTTCCATACACCAAGTCGAGATGATGATTCCATTGATAATGCATTTGGAAAATATGAGAAGAAACAAGAAAATGACATGTTTGATTATCGCAAGTTACATAACGAAGAAGATACAAGAGAACCTGATCAACACAATATCAGTTCATGTACTCAAAGCAGCAGTTGTTATTCTCCAAACTATTCCACTTGTGGACAAAGTGATGGCTATGAAACGGCTACCTCAAGTTGTAGTACCTCAAAATTGAATCCAAATGCTTTCGAATTTGTACCATATTCAAGATATAATGGTAACTTTAGCAGTAGCGGTAGCAGTATCAACCACAGTGTAAATAGGAATGCCACTTCTGAGGATAATTCCCTAACAATCCAAGCCCCCTCATTTCTGCCGCGTTTTCTTAAACTATCAGAAAATGATTTGCCAAACAAAACTAAGAAGAATTGTACATCTGCTGAACCTCAACCAAATCAAATGCCTCCCACCTATGCAAATATGGCCAGGAAACCATTAGCCGCAGAAGAAGAAGCGAATAGCAAAGCCAACAGAGTTTCAAAACAACCAAGTGATGCAAATTTTCCACCTTTGTCACAGCAAGGGACTTCTGGCCGAATTACCAATAATAATTTACGTTTTTATACGCCACGGCAAGTCTATGAAAGAAGACGTGGAACTGCATCTGCTCTGCACTAGTATTACAATTTTTCTTTTAGACAACTTAATTGTTTTTTTTTTCGTATTATGGAATTTTATTTACTTATAATATTTTTTTAATTTAATGTCATGGTATGCGACATCCATGGTACAATAAGGAGTTCGAACAGCCTCGTAAAGCTACTGAAATACAGCTCTGAAGCTATGCCCAGAATTATTTAAAATTAGATGCAACTGCAATTTACACTCACATTTTAAAAATATTTTAAAAATATTTCGAAAATTTCGTTTTCAAAACATACTGAAACAAGACAAGCATATACTCAACAAAAAACCTTTTTCTTGCACCATCAAGTATCCCAACTTACCAAAACGGTTTGAGAATAATATTACAATAAACTTAAGTACATAAACCTTAAGCTTGAGAAAATCTATAGAAAACAAACAAAAAAATTTGTGTAACAAATATAGAATAATCACAATTGAACCCTTATTTGCAAGTTTATACTTGTAATTGAAGAATAAGCTTAATATTAAATTAAGCTTATTTTTATACCCTCAGGCATACGGTTTTAGACCCTAGGTCTCTTTAGACCAAATCCGTTTTAGGACATCTGGAGTCGATCAAGATGTCCGTCCGTCTGCCTGACTGGCTGGTGCGCACGATAACTCTCGAAGGGAGTATCCGATTTGGTCCAAACTTGGTACATCGTAATATTTTTGTCAAACATAGATCGAGTTCGGAGATGGGCAATATCCCTCTGGTACCTCCCCCCACAAAAGGTCGAAATTTGCAAAAAAATATATATATATATATATTTTCTACCGGAAAGAGAAACGATAATCCGATTTTGCTCTAACTTTTCAAATCCTAATACTTGCGTTAGTTCTAGGTCAGGTGCGAAAATTGACAATATCGGTCCACAACTCTTTGAGTAATTAAAACTCTTATGAAATACATCCCAATATTTATTTTAACTCAAGATCTGTTATAAAGCTGGTAGAGATCGGACCATTCCTTCTGGTACATAACCCACAAAAGGTCGAAATTTTCAAAAAAGATATTTCTTGCACAGAAAGAGAAAAGTAAACCGACTTTGATTATTCTCGATTATCTTCAAATTTCACACATTTCAATATTTTATGGAATATATCGGTTCACACCTTCTGCTACCTCCCCCACAAAGGGTCAAAATTTTGAATATTCTTGAAGCTTATAAAACACGAAATTAACATTCGATTCCATTCAGACTTGGCACATCTCAATATTTCTATCAACACAAGATCTGTTATAAAGATGGTAGAGATCGGGCCATTCCTTCTAGTACCTCCCCCACAAAGGGTCAAAGTTTGAATAACAAAAAACGATCATAAAATCCAAAATAAGCATCCGGTTCTCTTCAAATTACACAAATCACAATAGTTTTACTAATCCAAGGTCTGGTGTGAAAATACGATATATCAGTCCACCCCTTCTGGAACCTCCCCCACAAAGGGTCAAAATTTTCGGTATCCATAAAGCTTATAAAACTTGAAATTAACATCTGATTCCATTCAGACTTGGCACATCTCAATATTTTAATCAACAAAAGATCTGTTATTAAGATGGTACAGATCGGACCATATCTTCTGGTATCTCCCCCACAAAGGGTCAAAGTTTGAATAAACAAAAGCATCATAAAATACGAAATAAGCATCCGGTTCTCTTCATATTACACACATCACAATATTTTTATTAACCCAAGGTCTGGTGTGAAAATAGGATATATCAGTAAACTCCTTCTGGTACCTCCCCCCCCAAAAGGGTCAAAATTTTGAGTATTCATGAAGCTCATAATACGCAAAATGAACATCCGATTTCATACAGACTTGGCACATCTCAATATTTCTATCAACATAAGACCTGTTATAAAGATGGTTGAGATCGGACCATTACTTCTGGTATCTTCCTCAGAAAGTGTTCAAGATTTTTGAAAAACAAAACGCTCAAAGAAAGAGAAATAAGTACACAACTCTCCTCAGATTTCACACATCCAAAGAAGTCAGCGATTCTTTACAACTTGCTATATCTGAATATTTTTCATAGCCGGAAGTCTGAGATAAATATGGAATTTATGATTTCGCATAAAATCGGATATAAATGTTCAATTTTCTTGTAATTTTCCAATACTAACATATTTTTTTCTGTATTGGATGAGGTATGATAATGGAATACTTCTCTCCGCTATTTCTGTTACCTGACGCATATATTTTAAAGTATAGGAAATAGTTAATATAGTCCAAACCTGGCACTTTGCAATATTTATATGAAATTTATTTAGGTCCGATACGAAATAGACAATATTGGCCCATTCCTTCGGAACCTACTCCATAGAGGGTCAATAATTCAAACAATCATAAATATATTCAATAATCGAAAATTTGGCTGAGGGTATACATCTGTTAGCAAAAATCGAAGTTGTTATAATATTATCCTCAAGCTGTATTGTCCTCTAATAAATTTTTGGTATGTTGGGTACTTCTTTAATGCGACAATAATCCAAGTCCAATGAGAATTAAAACAGGAAAATTCATAGCGACTACAATCTGTGCAATACCGAATACAAGAAGTGCAGTGCCCATGCTGATTACAGAAAATGGTGGAGCGAATTGAAATTTAGTAGGACAATGATTTATATTATCCAAATATTTTTTTCAAAACCTTCAATATACTTAAATCACAGGCACCGTTTTGCGGTGGACTATACGCTAAAGCGAGTAATGACATTGCGCAGCACCCAATCTGGGGTTTGGAAAATTCTGACTGTATTCAGTATTCGGTTAGTAGTTCAAAATCCCAAAAAGGTTTTTGGGTTACCAGGCTAAACTTTTTTAGGGCCTATTATATATAGCCTTAAGCATATACAAAGGGCCCCAGGTTTTTAGGATCTAGTAGACCAGTGGCGGAAATGACTTCAATATTTCCAAATTGTTTTGCTGTTGTTATTTTCATGGTCAAATGTCAAATACAAAATGGATAAAATATCAACGTCAACTAAAAAATACAATGTCGTCACATTTTTTACGGCGACAGATATTCTCTAAAAACGACTTTATGTCGACTGTTGTATCGACAATGATAATGGCCACAAAGGACGCTTCGACTTCATTTTGCGACGACGACGACAACCATTACGTTACGTTATCTAAAATCTGGAAGTTTTTTTATTGATCCTCATCAGGAGATGAGAGGCAGCGAATTAGCTTTATATATATGCTCTTCGCAAATATTATATGAAATCAACGAATACCAAGTTAATCTAGGTTTTTCGATACATTAATGTTTGAACTTCCTTAACAAACCAAGAAAAACTTTTTTTCAAACTATTATAGTTTTTAATCAATTATTCCACTAATGAGATGTTAAATATTTCCCCTTGCCCAGAGAAATCTGGACATAAGTTAAAATAGAAAAAGTTAAAAAAAATAAGTTTGACCGGGCCGAACTTTGAATACCTTCCTCCATTTGGAACGTATTTGACAATTCTCAAAAACAATAAAGTCCGTTACAAATTCTGTTAAATCTTAAAAAAAATCGAATATAGCCGTTATATTGGGGTCTATACGACGTGGACCTACATAGGCATTGATCCATTATATCGGAGCAATACGAAGACGTGGACCAGCACAGACAATTTTCTGTCGTAGGCTGTAGCATCCATTACGAACTTTAAATACGGCATCTCAAACAATTTCGGTGAGCATTGTACTTAAAATCGTCAAAATACCGAATATAGGGAGGTGCCGGTATATGGGGCCTATACGAAACGTGGACCTGCACAGACAATTTTCTGTCATAGGCTGCAGTATCCATTACGAACTTCAAACACCAAATTTGAAACAATTCCTGTGAAAAATGTCGCTAAAATCATCCAAGTACCGAATATCAGGAGGTACCATTATATGGGGGCTATACGAAGACCTGGACCTGCACAGACAATTTTCTGTCATAGATTGTAGTATCCATTACGAACTTCAATTATCAAATTGGAAACAATTCCGGTGAATGATGTCGCTAAAATCATCAAAATACCGAATATCCTGAGGTACCGTTATATGGGGGCTATATGAAAACGTGGACCTACATGGGAACCGTGGACCGTTTCAGGACATTTGGAGTCGATCTAGCGATGTCCGTCGTCTGGCTGGCTGGTGTGCACGATAACTCTCGAAGGGAGTATCCGATTTGGTCCAAACTTGTGCAATATCGGTCCACTTCTATTGGTACCTCCCATACAAAATTATCAAACAAAATATTTTACGGAGCAGAAAGAGAAAGGATATTTGCAACATTGCTCTACGTCAGGTGTGAAAATGGACAATATCGGTCCACTCAAACGGTCAATATTTTGAATAATTAGAACTCTTATAAAATATGATGTAAGTGTGCGATTGTGTCCAAAGTATGGGGGCTATATGATACCTTTATCAACACAAGGTCTGGTGTGAAAATAGGATATATCTATCTACTCCTTGTACCTCCGCCACAAAGGGTCAAAATTTTGAGTATCCATGAAGCTCATAAAACGCGAAATTAACATCCGATTCCATGAAAACGTGAACCTACATGGCCCTGCCTACTGGCAAAATAAAAATGTGTGCAAAATTTTAGCCTTCTATCTCAATTCGTTCGAAAGATAGCGTTATTACAACAAAAAGACAGACATAGATCAAGAATATATATAAATACTTTGCTGGGTCTGACATGAGTATTTCGAGGAGTTACAAACGGAATGACGAAGTTAATATACCCTCCATAGTATGGTGGATGCTAACGCCACTTACAATCACAATTTATATATATCTCTCTTTAAATGTTTTCATATTTTTACACCCTCCACTATCAAAGGAGGGTAGGGTATATTAACTTTGTCACTCTGTTTGTAACAGCATAAATTTCTTAATTGACTTAATGATGTCCGTCTGTCTGTTGAAATCAGGATACAACCCACATTATTTGCCGTAGAGCTTCAAAATTTGGCACAACAATTTGTATTATGTCTAGAATGGTTGGTATTGAAAATGCGATATATTGGTCCACGAATTTGTGCAAAAATTGGCACTTGTTCGTAATAGGTTCTAACTCTGGTGGCGGAACATCCTGTATAGCTCACATACAACGGTATTGCCCACCGATATTCGGTATTTTGATAATCCTAGTCACACTTATCCACAAAGGTCTTTCAAA